AGTTCTTTCGGCGAAAATAGAATCGGTGAACTTTTTTTTCGGCGAACTTCTTTTCGGCGAATTTCTTTTCGGCGAAATTCGTCTTCGGCGAAAAATTTTTTCGGCGAAAATGGAATATACCCTTTATCTAATGTATCAATAATACCAACACCAACTATATCGCTATGCGTTAATCGATCCCTGTATTACCAAAGCAAAATATAAAATAATTTTTCTACTCTGCAAATTTGTTTTTCGTCTACAAAGCGAAACTATTTTTTTTTATTAAAAATACTCCTATCACTCAATTGACTGATTTGTATAAGTTGAAGAAAAGAAGTTCCAATTTTATCATCAGCTGATAATTTATCCCTTAAAACAAACAAAAAACATAAACCCATAAATTCCTTTTTGAAAAATAAAATCTGTGCAAAAAAACAAAATAAATGACTGACATAATTTAATACCATTTTCTCGATCATCACATAAACGATTAATATGATGTAATGCTGAGCCTGTTACATCATCGAATTGTAAACGATCCCTGTAGATTTTAATTTTTTTTTATTTGTAAATTTAAATATCATTTTTGTAAATATCGAATAATTATAAAATGAGATTTTTTAACTTACCAATCCATAACAGTAAGTGTGATTTTATCACACATTGATGGAAACTAAATTAAATTTTAATTTAAAAACTAATGCTAAAAACTAAAAATTTTACTTTAAGACCAAGTCGAACTTCTTGATTAAATTCTGGATGTGAAAATGTATAAACAATTTTTAATGAAACCTATATTTAATCAAAATTTAAAAAAGTATTTAGATTTATTATAAAATACTTGTTGTCCAGCAAATCAAAAATTAACATAAGGATCAATTAATTCTTTAATATCTTCAGTTGCATGAAAAATTTTTTTAACACCATGTAAAAATGTACTATCCACTAAAAAAACGCAATAAAATCTTTATTATCTTTGTTCTGTGTTTTTTTTGTTCGTGATACAAACTTCTTGGTAAATCATCAGCTTTAAATACTTTTAAAATAAATGTTGCAGGACGAAGTATAAGACCAGCTGGTTTTATAAATTACTTTCAATATCATTATCATCACCAGCATTTTCTTGTGATGGTGCTTCATCAGCTGGTCCTAATATATTAACTGATACTTTAAGATAACCTTTAGCACCAGTTATTCGATCATCTTCATCACTTAATAATAACCATTTTCGATTAATTGAATGTTTTGCTTGAGAATAAATATAACCAATATCCATTATAAATGATCCAATTTTCATATCAGCTCGAAGTGTTCGAGAATTACAAACTTCAAATTCAATCATTTCATCACATAATTCAGCTTCCGACATATTTATATTAAAAAAGAAAACTTCATTAAAATATGATTGATTTGTTCCTTTTTGAATTTTTATTTGTTTTATAGAACCAACAACACGTACACGACAAACAGAATGTAAATTACTTCCATCTAATTGACGTGCTTGAAAGATTTTTATTCGAATTTGAAAATCTTGTGGTTTTGTTGATCGTGGTTTATTTTGTCGTTTATATGCTTGATCAGTAGCATTAACTTCTCCTTGCCATGATGTATCACCACCATTTTGTAAAGGTACATCAGCAAATTGATTTACATAATCTTATCGAATAAAAAAAGAAAATAATATTATACTATTTTTTAAATTTGTTGATACTTTTCCACCACCATATGGTGCAATATATCCAAAATGGTCATAAAAACCCATTGTATATACAGATGTTTGAACCTTTTATCATTCAATCAACCCATGGTTTTTTCTCCGAGATCAAATTTATCCGATATATTGATCTATTAAACGTATTGATTTATTAGATTAACAACCTATTTATTAAATTAATAATCATTATAAGAATTCTTAATGATAAAATAACTGAATATCTAATATAACAATTGATCTAATTGTAAACATCAAACGATTGTTCGAGATATTATTGATTTATTATTAAGATGACACAGATACAATAGAATATCCTTTTTATACCAATTCCTACACACCCCACAATAGATTGAATTAGATAATAGTCTGTTGTAGTTTCCACTGTTGAATTTGAATAATTTTTCAAGTGATTGAATAGTTTTCTCTTGAAACTTTTACTATGTGTTACAGCTGAATATCCATCATAAACATTTCATATTTTTCAATATTTTTTCTTAAAACAAAGATTTTTATCTAATTTATTTGTATTCGAGCAATCAATATACAATTGAATTTACAATGAAGGAAAATATTCATAGAGATCGTTTGAACAATATATTTTCTGTTCGAAAAATAATTGTTTTACTTTAGAACAATTCCGTCTTGTTGCATCTCTTGTAAAGTTCTTTGTTACAAGTGCTAAGTCCCTATAATGAACTTTTAATTCAGTAAGACGAGGTAAATATGCCCTTGTTTCAAGTAAAAATTGCACCACATAATCCGTATTAGCACTTAAAAGGTCAAGTGATATCAGATGAAAATATTCCATAATGGAATCAAATGGATTCTTATCAGATTTTAATTCATCACGGTTCCATGATTGCACCATTTCATTCTGTATAACCAGACACTTCAGTATTGGAAAATTTTGACTAATTCGCATAAAGAAGTCATGTTTCATTGGAGCGATACCGAAGAGAAGTAAATGAGTTACAGTGTTAAATACAATATTTGGAAAATGGTTTGAGATCTTTATCAGACGAGTGAATGTATATGGAATTGAATAAACATGACATATACCTTCAAACTTTTTGAAATGATCAATAATACAAGTCATTTGTCCGTATTTTATGTTTATAAATTTGTTTTCAATATCATCATTAGATCTATGATAAACTGAATCATCAATAAATGCTTCTGTACTTATATAAAAGATGAATGTATGAAGTTGAAGCATATAAACAAGAATGTCATTGTGAAGATGTGTATAATCAACGAATGATTTTTCCCATGTACGAAGATACAAAGTTAACTTTTCGAGATGTGTCATACGACGAAGAAGTGGCAAAACCATACTTTCGTATGCATATGTGATATTGTAACTTGTTAATGAGAAACACTTCAAATTCTGTAGTTCATCCTACAAAATGCAAAAAAAAATTTCGAAAAACATATTTATTGGTTCAGCTAAGATAATATGCATATAAGAAACGGATAGTAATCATCACTCATTTGCAATTTTTCTATTTAATGAGATATACAATACAATCATTTCTAAACAAAAAAATTCTTAATATTTCTAAACTTTCTAATATTGAAAAAAAAAATTAAATCTTTAATTTCTAAGGCCGAAAACACACTAGACAAATTAAAACTGAATTAACCACTAATTCGTCTTCAAAAGATGATTTAAATCTGAATTAACCAATCACGATGCTTAATTCAGTTTTAATTTGTCTAGTGTGTTTTCGGCCTAAGATAATTCAAAAGAAAAATAATCAACTTTATAATTTAATAAAATGTCAAGACTTTCACATTCTAAATTTAATTAAATTTCGAACTGTAAATAAAATATATTTACATCTTTACATACAGTAGATCTGATTTCTAGGATATAATTGTTATTATTACATACATTTTAATTAACACAAAGTTTCTTTGAAATATTCTCATTGATGTGCTTCAGTGTCCAGCATAAGACAAATTTTTCTAATCCGATCCAAACTTAGCATTATTGAACTAGATGTGAGGGCGAAAGGTTTTTGATGACCCGACTCGAACTCGTCCATGTTTAAAGATATTTTTTAGTCAATCAAAGCCAGTTTTTTCAGAGATTAAGCATTTTTTGATGAATCTCCGAAAGTTTTCTAAAAATTGAAAAAAAATTAAATCATTATCCCATTTAGTATTCATACTTCACTTATAGGAACCTTGAAATCGATCGATTTATTACGACTCGAACAAAACTAAATCGAAGCTTTTTAGTGAGCTAACTCGGCTCGATACGAGTCCGACATTGATATGATCTAAACAAATATAATTTCTTTGGATAACACCATCTTTCATTCTAGTGTATTTTTCAATCAAGTAAATTTTATATCCTTCGTTCTCTTGAAATCGTGTTATTAGAAATCTTCTAAACAAGTAAGAAATGCCCACATAATACTGATAAATTCTGCAGTTCTTCCTAAATAATTTAAGAGAGATTGCTTCCGTTCTATACTAAAATAAACTGATTAGTTTGTAATTGTTATAAAACACTACTCAAACATCTAATTTGTTCCGTGAATCCTCGAAATCAAAACAACTTGTTAAAAAAATATCAGACAATCTTTGCTCTAGTCTGTTGCGATAGTTATGATACGCGTTTTACAACAATTTGATTAGCTGATTCTAATGAATGATTTATCAAATAATATGAAGATAAAAAGCATTTGTCTTTCAATAGCATCAACTCACCATATTGCTAGAAATCAACGATGACCTATAGATATCATCAATTTGAACAATGAACGTGGTGAGTTGTTCCAGACGGCCATCAAGTAACAAGAGACAATCATCAGAACCACACAGATAAACACATAATACGGTAAGAGTTGAGGAAAAATAAGTAGTTGATGGTAGACTAAAAATCGACAATGGTGGATATTCATTTATACATGACGCAATAATTGTCAAATGCTTTAAATCTTTAAAAAGATCAATGATATGTGCATATACGTTTGTAGTATATGTTTTCAACGATTTTTTATTGAGATATTTATCATTATTATGAAGAACAAGATCTCTTATTTGATATTTAAAAATATGCCGAAAGGTTGAGCCATCTAAATAAAAAAACCAATGTAATGAAATACTTTTGTATTATGATCTTTTGATGATTAAGAGTGCGTTATGTGCTTACCTGTAAAATAATGACAAACTACTTCTTGTCCAAAATTGAAGAGTTCCAAAGAAGTCAAATTTGGATAATCACCAGCAAGAAGAATACGTTTCATAGATGTTGTTTCGACAATCAGCTTTTTAACAGAATGGTGAATTCGAGGTAATATTGAAGTACAAAATCGATCAAGCTTTATATCATTAATTGACGGTGTTCTTACAAAATTGAGAATGTTAGTAAATAGACCATGTTCTACTAAGATGTCAAGTTGTTTATTATTAATTCCGAATAATGAATAAAGAACATCAATATTGTCGAGTTTCTTCAAGATGATAAGCAATATTTCATTCGGTAGATCAAGAAGATCAATGTCTGACTGATTCATATTTGTTTATAACCATCACCCATCTTAAAACATACATATATATATGTTCATTTTTTTTTTCTTTCGAATTTTTTCGTCAGCGAAGAATATAATGCATGACCCCTATGCATAAAAAATGTGCTATTGGTCGCGATATATTGTTGAATATGATCCTCAACAGATGCTGTTCTTCTTTCACTATTTATTTATTTTGTTGCATTTGTTCAAAATGTTCATTCACATGAAAGTGAACGATAAGATCAAAAAGACCTTGTACACACTAGAAAAATTAATACAGAAATTAGCAACGTGATTGGTCTATTCAGATTTAACTCATCTTTTTGAGATGAATTTTTCGTTCTTCAAGTTTAATTCATATTAAATTCGTCTATTTTGTTTGGGGCCAAACAGACTAAAAAAATTAGACGTGAATTAAAAAATGTAATTGGTGTTGCCACTTGAAAACACCAGTCACATTTCTTAATTCATCTTTCACTTTTCCGGTCTGTTTTTGACCTAAGACCTCAAACAGATCGAACACGTTAAAACAGAATTAACTAATACAATTCGCGTTGCTATGCAAAAAGGCCAATCATGTTTCTTAATTCACTTTTAATTAGTCGGTCTGTTTGGGGTCTAACATAATATGCTCAACAAAAGAAACTTAACATATCAATAACAAACGAAAACTGACTGAATTTTAACAATAAATAATTAAAATCTTGATCCTTAATTCAGTCTTGTACCAAAAACAAAAGCATCAAGTATTAGCGAAAAAGGATTGACATCGTTGTCGATCATTCTATTTTTTATCAGATGCGGTTACAGAAATTTAGTTTTTGGTAAATCTGGGTCCAAAAAACCATGACCTCAAAACGTCGTAATCACGGATCTTCAAAAACATATCATAATCTATATCTTAAACACTGTCTCTCACCATTGAGTGAAGGTATTGTGAGTCATTAGAATTATATAATCATATGCACCTGAAATTATCTACTCCTTATGAAAATACTGGGTCTCAGGAGAGTCAATCCAACACTAGGATCCCATCGGATTGATATGGAAACCCATAAGTTCCGGTCGTATCCTATAAGATTTCATCAAAATTCTGTCGGAACGCATCGGAAACCGGGAAACGGTTCCATAGACGGAATCCAGGTGTTGGAATCCGTCATATCCTACAGTCGGAATCTGGTCGGATCCATTGCCTCGGAACGGATAAGATCCAACCGCTGGAATCCGGTCAAATCCGACGACGGAATCCCGCAAAATACTACTGTTGCCAAACACTCGGATCCCACAGTCGGAATCTAAACAAAAATAACTGTAGGAATGACTGCGTAACCCACCGTCTCAAGTCGCAGATTCTGGTAGATTTTTGTTTTGATTTCTCATTTCATTAGAATTTCTCCTAGGACTTCACTTCGATTTCATTAGGATTTCACTAGGATACATTTTTGGATTTCAAAAGAATTTTACGGAGATCATTAGTAGAATTTCAGCAAGACTTTAGTAGGATTTTCTTCTGTACACCGATAGGACTTCACTAAGATTTCTGTTACAATTTTGTTAGGATTTTACCAGAATTTCTCTTAATATCACTGATCTACTAAGTACACATATTACACATATTGTTTTGAATTTATTTAGCGAAGTACGATAAAGATCTAACAGAGTTAATTCTTTCTCATCAACGTGTCTCGGTAGGGGTTATGCTTTCGGGAAAAGAAGAAGAAATACATAAAAACACTTACCTTGGATGAGTTTTGAAATGTAGTTGAAAGATAAAGTAAACACCTCTATATATAGAGCTATTTCTGTAAAACAAAACGGCGAATGAATACTTGACCGAGATTCTAGCGAGAAGTTTTCAATTTCTGAACGTGAATTTTTGAGTAGAACAAGTATCTAATTAACTAATTAATTATACTAAAGACAACAATTCGAATCCAAAAATAATAAAATGACCAAAATAATGACAATACTCATCTACCCAGGACCAAAGTTTGGATCTCAGAACGGCAGAGTCAGCAAAATAATCAAAGTAATCAAAATAATCATCTACTCAGGACCCACCTTTGGATCTTAGAAAAATGGAATGAGCAAAATAATCGAAGTAATCAGAGTGATCAAAATAATGCGTTATTTCCCCTTTGATTTCATTGTACACCCATCTAATCCTACCGTTGAACCCGTTAGTGGTTCCACAAACCGGAATTCTGTCGGATTTTGTGGAATGGTCGAAACTCATAAGATTCGCTCGAATTCGCTTATCGGATTCATCCATCTGGGCTATCAGAATCCGACAGCTACGGATTTGTGGTGCTCCGACAGGTGGATTTCATTGGATAGCCGTCGAATCCTACCGTCGGAACCGTCTATGGGACCGTCTTCTGGAATCCCATCGAATTTGGTCGGTTGGTCGGATATTATAGGATCCGATCGGATCTCATAAGCTCCGATCGGATTCGGTGTCGGATTCATTCACCTGGGGTGTTCCAAAAGTCCAGGCAAAAAATGTAAATATCTTCATTATTGCTTAACTAAACTTTAAGGTTTTTTTTCCTATTGGACAGAGGAATGCTCAAAGTTTTTTTTGGTATGTTTGGAACTTTTTGTTAAGCTTATAAGAAATGATCAGGTTTATTATGGTGAAATTCGAGTTTTCTTTGCAACTTTTATTAATTAGTGATATCCTGGAAAACTTTTTCAAAAAGATAAATATTTTTTTAATGTTGGAATAACATAGATGACTTCGCTTTTCACATAAACAAATTATTGTTTCGTTTTGTTAAAATGTAAATGGATTGAATGAATATCTTCAACTACTGCTATTTCATACTAGCATCTAAGAAAATACACAAAATGTAATAAAAGTGTTTCGCAAATACAATCAACGAATAAAATGAAAAACCACTAGTGCAGATCCATCCAAAAATGGAGTGGAATTGATTAAAGTCTGCAAATAGTTTTAGGAGACTATCGTAGAATTCATTGGGGCCAGGGAACGTTAGCTTAGAAGAATGATTTTCTTGTGACATAACTACGTAGGTGAAGTCAGCACAAGATTCGAGTAAATACAATCAAGATTCGTTTAGGAATTTGTTCCAAAGTTCCTACTCTTGTTTCAAATACAATTCGATCAGTCTTATTGAATGGTGTAATCTCATTTTCCATAGTTTAGATTATGTCCGAAAAAATCTCAAGATACTAATTTTTCATAACAGAGTTAAGAGAGTCCATATAGTAAATTCAGCCAAGATTCACCCAAACACTTTTTCCAAAGTTTCTATTCTTGTTTCCAGTACAAGTCGATGAGCTATGTCGATGATATAATCAAATTTTTGATGGTCTGAATTTTTGAAAAATTCCGAAAATATGGGTATTTTACATAAATCACGTGTAGTAAATCCAGCCAAGATTCGCTCACTTTACGAGCTTGCCCCACATGTCTTATTGTTGTTCCATGTAGAACTTGGTGAGCTCTATCCAATGGTAAAATGAAATTTCCCATAGCTCAAGTCATGTCCGAAAAAACCCAAATTATTGACTTTAGTATGCAATCCTTAGAAGCTATATAATAAATCCGGTCTAGATTCGCCTAAGAAGTTGTTCTATATGTCTTATTCTTTTTTCGAGTGCAACTCGACGAGCTTTATCTAATAGTATAATCAGTTTTTTGATGGCGCCGAATATGCGGAAGACAAGCCTAGTAAGTTTTATTATTTTTCCACTTTCACTTGTTGCCATACGAAAACTTCCAATTATGTCGAAGAAAACTTCGAACATTACTTTATTAACTGACAAAAGACCCTTGAAGTTCAGTTGGGCAATAATACTGAAAATATTTATGCTTTTTTTGCCCGAACTTTTGGAACATCCTATAGATGATTTATAATTTGTAGATGACGATATATAATGTGAGAATTGTCGAAGTAAAATGAATATGCTGCGTAACTATGTTGATGTTTATCAAGATATTTCGCTGAATGTTCTTTTATGGAATCTGCTTCTTGCTTTATACCCATTAAACCCGCAGATTTTGAAAAATAAAATTTTTACAAAAAAATTCCGTTTTCGATTAAAAGCATCGATGGATACATCTACATTATTGAAAATTTGCCGCAGTGATAAAAAAGAAAAGTCAAACATGCCGTCGCGCTCAAAAAGTATTTGTACACATTGCTGTCATGTCACGATGGTTGTCAGAAAAATTTTCTAGAATTTTATGGCTCTGACTGTTTAAGATAAGAACTGTTGTCAATAATTGATGACATTCATTGAGTCCCAGTGTTGCATTTATGGACACTGAGATTCTGTAAAAATCCATGAGTTTTTGGAATATTCTCAAAAAGAAATCTATCTCCGCTGCCGCATCGCGATGATGATGATTTAAGAATCCTATCAGCACTGTGACGCCGTCACCATGATGGTAGCTGCAGTGTAGGCTTGGAGATCTCTGAATTGAAGTAAAACAAATTAGTAAATATTCGACTAGATTGAAACTCTTTAAACACTTTTTTTTTTATTTTTCAATAAAATCTTCATAGCTCTATATGCTTGACACCAATAAATTCAGAATTCTATCTTTCTTTATTAGACTTATATGATACCTGTCCCTTTTGTTTTAAATCGAATTAGTTTTATTAGATAGTCAATTAACGATCTTGAAAACGAATCAAAGGAAAAACAACAAATCGAGGAAAAATATGAGGGTGAAACAAAATACGAAATTATCATGAATATATACGAGTATTTTGATTAAAGAATGAATCGACTGTTACAGCGCTTAATCGGTAGGGTTTTTCCTTACCTGTACTGATCTAAACAGTCAAACCGAACCAGATCAGTCGGTCTGCCGGTCTGATTATAGTTCTGAGTTGTTGCTAAATGAATATTTAATGCTTAATCAATATGTGAAAGAATACATAACGAAACATTTAACAAAAGATTATGAAGTATTTAAAATAACAATCAAACAATTTATGCCGGTAATTATCATTTGTTCACATATTATCAGTAAATTGTAGAATAAATAGACATGGTTCAAGTGTAAAATAGATATTTTGTTCAAACGAACAAACTACATTAATCAATATTATTCGCAGCATATGTCTATTCCATTAAATTCATATAATTCTCTGATTCCTACTACTTTTGTTCGTCTTTCCGCTCTTTGTGTTTGTAGAATAATAGTACTTCTATATATTTTGTTGAATTTGCCTTTGATTCATGAGTACAATGGCTTTATTAACTATTCCGAAAAAATATTGAACAAGTGAATATTTAATAGAATGATGTTTATAATCGAGTTGTAACAAATTTTGTCAATCAAAACTACCGATTAACTATAAGGTTTTTAAAAAATCCAATAAGTCACTATCTGAGAGTCATTGATCTTGAGAAAAAATATTATTTCTTTATGAATGCAAAGCAATATCATTGATATTTTTCTTTAAGAATGTAGCTGATGATCCAAATCTTGTTGTAATACTATTTTAGTATCGATCAACAATCGACGTCATCCTTTCAAAGTCTAGTTTTCATTCATTAATTGAAGTATTTTAAACATCATCACCATCATCGATGACAATACCAATTTGCATTCGAGAATTTCAATTCGATAATCCTTTATAAACATCAAATAAGAAAAAAAAATCATTGTTATTGATAAGCGCCACCACGTCATCGTATTTCTACAAAACAAAAATGAAATAATAAATATTTTTAACAATTATTTTGTTTATTCTTATTATCAATAATTGGTGTAAAATAAGAAACAATTGATAGTCATTGTTAATTATATTTGTTTTAATAATAAAACAGAATTTCAAATAACTGAAATAAAAACTAAAGTTCCAATTAGAAAACTAGCGCAACATGGAGAAAAGAAATCAGATGACGATGAATATGACGAAGATAGAATGATTATTAATGCATATAGTGATAATAAACAATAAGAACAATTATTTAATAAATCTAAATAAAAGCTAATTTATTCGGGATCGATTCATCAAGAATGTGAAACGCATAATCTAGAAATCAGAGTAGCTTATTTAATATTAAATAAATTAAATAAAATAAATTAAATTGCTTTAGTATCTATCATTAGTCGTATTAAACTTGCAATATCTATTCAAGAAAATTATGAATATTATTTATAGCAGTTAGATACAATTCAAATTTTTATTCGTACATCTTATCATAAATTTTTTCGACACATTTGTTCTTTTGAATAACAATAGAAATAACAATATAAATGAAGAATTTAAATATTTTATTCTAAATCTGAATATCGATCAGAATTTCGTTTAAAACAAATTATAGATATTGATTATCATTCGATTTGATTTGAATCATATTTGGGATATGAAACGAATGTTTTATTAGGATAGAAAACGAAAATGTTTGTTTTTTTGAATAGAAAATAAAGAAAAATTTAGCTAGAATAAATGTTTTTATTAACCGAGTAAAAATAAAAATAAAAAAAAGATGACATAATAAGATATTAATCACATGAATCAATTTCAATCTTTAAGTTCTAATGATTCAGCAAATAAAATTCCAAAAATCTTTAACAATTTTATAATGTAATTAAATATAGTTTTTAATAAATGATTATTAAATGTTTTTCCTTCTGAATTAATATAAACACTTGTTGACTGAATAAGCTCTTCAAGATGGTGCATAACATCCTTTGTGTTGATAGAATCACACATTGATTTGAAGATGTTATGTTTGATCAATCGAAATTTGTGTAAAATAACCAGATCATTTTCATTCAATTTTTGACAATAATCAATTTGGATTAATTTGCCTTCTGAAGTTAAATGTTGTTGCATTTGTTTAAGCTCGTATATAAATGATGTTTTAAATTTCACTATTTTATTCATAATTTCAGCATTGAAATGTATTGTTTCATCATAATTATTTAATAAGAATAAAAATCGAATATCATCATTATTATATTCTAACAGTACTTCACTTAAATTCATAATGTTTTTAGATGATGATGTTTTATCTTCACTTAATGTTATGTTAGCAACATATAAATAATAACCAATACAAGAATCATTATTATTAACAGCTTGAAATAATGTAATTTCATTTATATCATCAGAAGATTTAGGAATGAGCGGAGCTGTATAAATGTCAAAAGGACAGCCTACAAAAGAAACGAATTTTTTTATTAGAACAACAAAAAACATTCATCTATAAAAAACGATTTCTTACTTAAAACAGAATACGCCATAGCAGCAGATTGAACAAGCCATGCAGGACTTCCAAATCCCCAACTTGACTTCCAAGCAGGTTCAATAAACTGGCTATTATTCCATAAGATAAAATCAGACGAGTTTTTCGTGTTTATCATTGTATTTGTTGGTGATGTGTATTCATTTGCTCGTTTAGTTAATTCATCAATAATATCGTTTTGACGAGATTCTAAATTTGAAAATCCACGTCGTATACGAAATTTTGATGTATCAAGATAAATCGTTGAATTACATTCGTATGCGCAACCATTATCAATAATTTTTTCGATAAGCTTGATCATTTCAGATATATAATCGCTGGTCCGTGTTGCCATACTTGGTGGTAAAACATTTAATAATTTCATGTATAATTCAAATTGTTCATCAAAATTACGAATTTGTTCATGAAAAAACGTATTATCAAGAAGATTTGATGTACAGATAAAGATAAGTTTAGAAAAAAATGATAATCGATCAGAATCATTAATACTTGATTTCTAAATGAAATGTTCAATCTAGTTTAAACGTGTATAAAATATATATAAATGAAAATTTACATTTGGTTCAGTTTCATTATCCGATAAAATATAACGATCTGCTTCTTTTAAAAGTTTTTTTGCTGCTCGAATTTGTTTTTTATAGAATGATCGTTTATCTGGATCTGGTTCACGTGAACGAACATCTTCTAATTGCTAAAAGAAAGACAAATTTGTTTTCGTGTTTTTTTTAAATTTTATATCCTACTTTAATTCCATTTCGACAATATGTAATCATTTGTGGTGTTTCAATTGAACCAATTTCACCATGACAGGTAACAAGACTTACATTACGTACATATTCAATAATCTTATAATAAAAAACAATTGATATGAATAATGAAAATTTAATAATAAGAGATTTACTTTATCGTTCATGTCCACCATGTTCATACATAAAACAACCTCATAGGCAAAATGATACATTAATATTCGACGTATAATATCAATCGATACGTAGTATCTTTAAATAGAAAAGTAAAATAAAATGTAAATGTACGTTTATCTTACCTGGCATGTCCTAAATTCATTGTTTCGCATAAAGTAGGACCTGTAACAAACCATCGAATTTCATTGCAAATTTTCGAGACAAATAATTCCTAAAAAGATTTAATCAATACATGAAAGATGATATTTTATCGATTACTTCTTCGTTGGTACTACTGTTCTTTAAATGTAATTGTGCTCTACCACTCATATTTAAACTATTTATTAATAATAATTATTGCTTATTTACTTATCTTTAACACTATTGAATTGATTTAGATCTAAATAAAAGTAAAGAAGTGTTAAACATGAATAATTACATAATTTGACTTTTTCATGGGTAACAATTTGATTAGGAATTTAATAACAATTACAGCAGCTTTAAATTTCATTATAATTTTCTTTTTTATTTAATAAAAAAAATATAATAAAT